CATAGAGCATTTTCCGTATTTATTTTCTCGATCTTTAGTTCCGGTTACTGGTTTGAGATTAATACATTTTTCTCTAGTAGTGAAGGCGGAGAATTTTTTGTTATTTCAACTGCGTGCGACTGAATAAAGAGTTGAAGCAAGATAAAATCACAGAGTTATTATTCTATTTGACCTATCATAGTATTTGTTCAAATTTATGTTTCTAATTTTTTGTGTGAGGATAACTAAATGTAGTCTAAAAAGACCGTATATGTAGTCTTTAAATAGTATCGATATTGTGTATGTATGTATGTATGTACGCGTGTGTGTGTGGTCTTACAAAAAAAATTTTTTTTCTCAAAATTTTCGTTACAAGGGATCAATAGAATTTCATGAATTTGTCCATGAATATTGACTTCAATAAGCTCTAGTCATTGACACAATTTAAAATTCAATTTTTCATTAATCCTCGACCACTCGCTCAAAGAGCGCGGCGCCGCCCGTTTTCGTTTTTTTTAATTTAAACGTGTTTCTCGAGGCTTATAAAATCTGAAAAAATTAGAGTTTCTAATACAATTCTTTTATTAAGCGATAGCGTTGTCCGTTTTTTCTCGAGAAATTTGTTTAGCTAAAAAAAGGAAAGAAGGGTCGAATGGATAGAAAAAAGACGCCGCGCCACCCGGTGCAAGTGAGTCCCTCTCGACTCCTTGAGCGACAGTGTTGCTACATTCACAGCCACACTTGAAATATGCGCATGGCGGTAAGCGCCAAGGTGACAACAGCGCGCTCAGTTTTTTTCAGTAACTTCAGTTCTATTCATCCGATTTTGATTTATGACACGTCAAATTTTCAATTTTCTACCATCTATAAGAATTTTTTGAGTAATTTTTTTTCAACCCCTAGGTGCTCATAATACCGAATTTTCAAAAAAAAACTTGAAAAACTTGAATTTTCAATATTATGTCACTTTTGATTTTTTTCAGCTTTTTTCAGTAGCTCTTGTAATCGAAACAAGTATTTTGAGACATCATACAAGTTGGGTTTCGTCCTAGATCTATTTTATTTTCAATTTTTGCTTCCTCCTCCAAGCATAATATTCGTCAAATTTGAAATTTCTATTTTTGGTGTGACGATGACTAATTTTGGTCTCAGGCGTTCGAATATGCTCTTTTTAAATCATGTCCGTATGTATATATGGACGTATGTATATGAGCTTTTTTTCAAATGTAGTTTTTCGACCATCATATAAAAAATAATCGTCGAAATCTTTTCAATTATGGCTTAAAATATTAGTGTGGATATTATTTCGGTCGAGTTCGAAGTCAGTGGCGATCGCATCATTTGCTTTGAAATTATAGCCTTAAAAACTATTTAACGAGGTTTAATCATGGTTTAGTCGAGATTTAGTTGGAGTTTAGTCAGGGTTTAGTCGGGATCTAGTCAGAGTTTAGTCAGGGTTTAGTCGGGATTTAGTCCGAGATTAATTAGGATTTAACCAAGGTTTCGTCAAGGTTTAATCAATGTTCAGTGGATGTTTAAAGTAGTTTAATTTTAATTTAGTCGACGTCTGTTAGATATGTAACCAGGGCATGTGGAGCTCATGTTAACCATTTGGGACATTTAGGGATCATATTAAGGTTTCATGGATGGTATATCTTCTTCCCTAATTTACCGTTGGGAAGCGAATTGCTAATTTTTATTTTAAAAAAAACTATACTTGATTTAGGCCTGTACAATAGGCCACTTGTTTCTTCTCGAAATTTTGCGAATTTGGTTAAAATACCCCAAAATGGCGTTGATTGCCTATGATTTTAAACAGTAATAAAGTGAATTTAAATGTATACTTATATGTTATATTTTTTTTTATACATAATCGAAGTCGTTTTGGGGTGTTTTTACCAAATTCGCGGAATTTCGAGGAGAAAAAATTGAAAATTAAATAGATCCAGGACGAAACCCAACTTGTATGACAGCTCAAAATACTTGTTTTGACCATAAGAGTTACTGAAAAAAAGATGCGAAAAATAAAAGGTGACATAATTTTGACAATTCAAGTTTTTCAAATTTTTTTTAATTACCCAAAATCTTCTTATAGATGGTTGAAAATGGAAAATTTTGAGCCGTCGTAAATTAAAATCGGCTGGATAGAACCCGAGGTATTGAAAAAAAAAAAACGAAAAGACAAAAAAAAGTCATATCTCCGAAATGGGCCGTCGAAAAAATGTGAAAAAAATGAGTTTTTCTAAACCCCCAACCGTAGAAAAAATCGAGATCAATTTCCAAAAGGGTGAGGGTCAGCCGTTGACTCATTTGGCATGGAATACTTCATATTCACTTGAAATTTTACCCGAAGGTTTCTATCAGTGAAGGTCATTCACCAAATTCAGAAAATTAATATGCAATTGGAGAATCCCAATACAAAGGCTCAAAATAACCATCTGAATAATACATTTAATTGAGAATAGAATAACAACAATATCGAAAAGAATTTTCATGTATTTCAAGCAGTAAGTTCTCTTCTCCAGTTGACCTCGCTCTCTTCCCTGGTGTCGGTTGTGTGTGCGCCAACGATATCACGAGTGTACACAAGCCGCTTGTTGTATTTCTGTTGACGATGGTTGGTGCTCGGCACACACAGTTCTCATCGCAAGGCTCGCACATACGTATCGTACCGAGTCACTCGCGACCGTGGCTCCTTATCATGACTACCATAAACTTCACGCCACAGCCGCATTGTCGTAAACGGATAACCCATAACGAGACGAACAAGTATAAAATGGCACCAAAATCTTGTTACTCTCGATCGTCTGGAGATCACGAGATGCAATATATCGTTCAACATGACGTTATGAGTTATAATGTGACTTAAAAAGTTTATTTCAAATAAATTACATACGCCTGTGATTATCCAATTACGTACGATACTCTGGATGCCATATGCGTCCATTAATGTTAGTTATTACACTTACAGAAAAAGAAATTACTCAGGTAAGTACTTATCAAGTCTGGAATATTTTACGCTAGATGTTTCAACAGTGAAGCATGAATTTGAATTTCTTAAATTGAAAATTTCCTGCTAAAATTCAATGTAATTCTCAAATATTCAACTCGGGGAAAGTTGACAGGTGTACGTTTGTCAACGCATCATAAAAGCGTTATGGATTTCAACTCTCTTGTGGGCATATTGACAGATTCATAGGACCATTTTCCAAGTACATGGTGAACATTCTCATGGATATGGCGTAAGCATTTCCATTTGGACATGGCAACTATTCTCACACCCAGAAAAATGATTTATTTGATTCAAATCAAGTTTATTTGAATCAAATAAATTAGTTAATTTACATAGTAAATGAAGTTTTTTTTTTTAAATGAAATGAAAATTTTTATTTAAAGTTTTGTTTATATTAAATAAATGTTTTTTTTACTATTAATAAATCTTTATTTGACCCAAATAAATTATTTATACCAAATAAATGTTTTCTTTGAACTAAATTAATATTTGACTAGGGGGCTAGGCCCCCTGCTCGCTCTGGTCGCCAACCCCCCTATAACCCTCGTATGACCCCCATGACCCGCATTTGGACCCTTATTTGGGCCCTTGTGACTCTGATTTCGACCCTTAATTTTGGAGTCTTAATTTCGAGTACCAAATTTTCATCACCAGAAGTCGATTTGGATTTTTATAATATAGAGATACTAAAAATTTATTATCGCTCTGAGTGAGTAATAAAATCGAAAAAGAATGAACGAAAAACATGCAATAATTATTAAGGGTAAGACATTTTGTGGGGGGGGGGGGAAATTTTGGTTCCATGATTTCACTATCAGGGAGACGATTGTGAAAGAAAGTCGTATATACTGGAGTGAAAAGTGTAATCAAAAATTGGATCAATATGATTCCAGAGCTCAAATCGTCCAGATTTCACGTCTCCTGGATTAGGTTCATACGTCCTTTTTTTACTTAGTTGGCCTGAAACTTCCAAAATGGTCAATACGACCTTCTTCCATATAGCCCACGAATATTGTTGAAACGCACTTTCGAAATTCTTCCACAAATTGCATGAAAATTTGATTTACTTTAAAATAAAATAAAATGTTTATTTGAACCAAAATAAATTGTTTATTTGATTTAAAAAAAACATTTATTTGAAATAAATAAATTGTTTGTTTAATACAAGTAAATCTTTTTTCTTGGAACAAGTAAACAAGTTTATTCATTTGCAATAAAAATATTCTTGAACTAAGTAAAAAATTTCAAATAAAGATTTTTATTTGATTAAAAAAAAAACATTTTTCTGGATGCATGGAGACATAATAAGCATTCCCATGGGGACACGGCGAGTATTACTCCATTAAGAATTGCCATGTTGCATCGTAATTGTCACTATATCCAACATAGTAGTGCGTCCCATAGACCAATATCATGTTTACTGTATATGCGACATAGTCGGAACTCCTACGTAGGATCGATCAAAAACCCTTTTACCATGTCGTTATCGTATTTTTTCTTCTGATGATTACGCGGTGACCGACCGTCTCGGTAGCATGAGACTCACCGGAAAATCAATGCTACGGTATAATCGCGACACAAACGAGATTCGCGGGAGAAAAGCATGTCAATCTCTCCATTACATAATCCAATGATCCAATGATTTTTACTTATAATAATGAATCAAGTGTTTTAATGGGAATCTCCAGGTGGACAAGGCCCGCTGCATTCCCATCCAATTAGACTTTTCAGTATGGGACGATGAGTCACGTATTGCAACACGAAGAGACAAAAATGAGACACTTTATTTCGTGACTGACACATTTAATTACGTTTTTCGATTAATTTGTCATACCTTAAAAATTGTTAAATATGTCGTGAAAAATGATCGGAATGAGAGGAGCCAGAAAAAGGCAGTTGTGGATTAGTCGAGGGCAAGCGTCAGTTCGTGCGGTGTCTGTCCAGGCGGCGCCATTCGCGCACTCTCGAGTCTATGAAGCGCCCGCGCCGTCAGTTTGGAGCACGGCTTCACAGCTCTAAGACGTGTATGATCGTTTCGTGTTTCCTTCCACTTACGGTGCGCTCGCTAACATTTATTTACAGTGGTTGTAATCCTTGGAAAAAACGCGTGGGTGTTCGAGTGTTGAGTGATCTTATTTGTAAATAAAAGTGATCCACATTCTACTCATTCGCCATTTCACCCTCGTTTCATTGTTGTCAGCTTAACTTACTTTGTTATTATTAAATTTTGTATCTGGCAAACGTTTTGCTTGGATGGTGCCAACGAGAAGGTAGTTTAGCCGAGTCCACGCTCCTGAGTTTCGTTTAATCGATCGACTGGACTGAGTAAATAAGTAAGTGAGTAAATGACATTTTCTATTTTATTATGAGTGCGTTTCGGAATCATGACACGAATTGCAGTTCGTGGTTTGTCGTTTTTTCCCCCGGTCCAAATTTAAATTTGAAGTAATTTTTAATGCGACTATATTTTGCTCCAACGAAAAATTGACAAAATCCATAATTAATTAACGGGGCTTGGGGCTTCCTAATTCTCCAAGACTACCTAGGAATTTCACTGCTATCGAACATAATTCAGCCGCGTTATTGACACTCGCTCGTTCAAACATTATGTCGGAGTAAAACGAATTTTCAACGCTACAGTCTTTATATCCCTGCATTCATTCGCTCATTTACGAACATCTATATGTATTTCCTTTTTTTTTCTTTTTCTTTTATCAGTCAAGTCGTTTTGAAGGCAATAGTACCGAGTCCAGGCGGGCGCGGTTGAGGGTAGGGGAGGAGAGGGGAGAATTCGAATACCGGTATAGTCATAAAAGTTCAATATGAAAAGTCAATGTCCCGTCTCCATGAATTTTTTTCAAGCCCATTATGCCATTTTCTCCTAGTACGTGAGGAAAGGCTATTGCTATTCTGCCATAGCTAAACATGAATAAATGTCGATTTAGATTCGACAACAGGTTTGTGCTCATCGATGATTGCTGGTTTATGTAATCTCGAGGTCAAAAATAGTGACCCTAGAGTTTTTAATTTTTCCTCTCGAATGCATCAACCGTCACCAAACGCATTTCCTGTTCACCAATGAAGAGATGCCAGTGTACACGTGTTTATTGTTGATTTTATCCTTTTGTTTGTCACCTACGGGAAAACCATGGAGTAAATTATGTGAGAAAGAAAACCGCAGGGTGAATGTTCTGCCTTTTTGTACTGGCTCACAGAGGCGATACAACATAAAAGCTCTCTCTTCCCCGTTAGCATATGCTAAAAGTACTTTAAAAAATGAAGAAAAGATAGTACAAGAGAGAGAGAGAGAGAGAGAGAGAGAGAGAGAGAGAGAGAGAGAGGGAAAAAGAGAGACGCAAAAATGAGACGTATGACAAGTTGGGGATTCTCAGTGGGGGGTGGCCAGGGTTTTCACGGAATTGAGTGTAAACGAGGGAGCTGTTTACATTGCATATTTTTCGAGATCAAGGTAATATGTAAGCTTCATGTCTCCTGATAAACATCTAAATCTTCATCATTCATCCAGAAAAGGGTGTGTTTCCGTGTTTACGGATTTTTGCTTCCGCATGGAAGCATTGTAATCGTTTAAATTTAAGTTTTGAATTTTTTGTGTTATATCGACCCGTTATGATTGATGATATGAAAAAGTCCGCAAATCCAATTTTTACACTGCATTACTTATTTGTGTACTGTTAGAAATTTCTTGAAATTTCAGTCAGCGTCATCTGAATTTTCGTTGTTGTGAGGTTGCATTCAATTTCAAATGAAAGCGTTCAGTTAATTTATCATTCATCTTGAAAATTCAAGAAAATTGAGTTTTTCAATTGTTTTTTTTTTAGTTTTTCGATGAGTTCATCGTGAAAATTGAACATCACATACAATTGAATTTTCAATAGGTTGAGAATTCAGAAAAATTGTTGCCTGAATTCCCAAAATTTTCAAGGTTTTTCAGTGCCGTATGTACCTGACAATCGAGAATTACTTGAATATTCAAGAAATTAATTGACTCCTCAATGAAGAAATACAGAAATTTCATGTAACTTTGTCGTTGTTAAACATTTCAAGCTTTTTCACGTGAAATTTTTTCAAGAGTAATTTTTCTTCTAACAGTGTGTCCGTATGTATGTGTGTGGTAAAGTTTTTCTTCAATTGTTCACGAATGAAAGAATGGAATTGAATCTTTTTTTTTCAAATGTAGGTATTATTGAGCTCTATCGATCGCCATTAATTAAGATTTGATTCAACGATTAGCTTTTTAATTTTTGAATTTTGTCAAAAATCGGTTGTCCCACGATAACTAAAAAAATGTTCTGAATTGATTGAATGATGGCTTCAAAAATTTGTTTGTATATCCCTTTGACCGAGTTCGAAGATGAAGGCGATAGCAATAATTGTTATTTGATTTATTCGAAAATTTTCAAAAATTTGGTATTTTTTGAAAATAAAAAATCCGGGGATATCTTTGAATATCATTCTTCAAATTAATCAATCATAGCTTAAAATGTTTGTTTTAATGCCATTAAGTCGAAGTTAAAAGATGATTACGATAGCTATATTGGTTTATTTGATTTTTATAGTCATTTTTGAAAATTTTTAATTTTTCATAAATTCCCCTGAAAGTGAGCTGTTTGATGGTTTCTTCAAATGTGATGTTTCAAATTCATTCAAGTACATGTAAATAAAATTTTTCTATTAACATTTTATCGAAGGGCTAAGAGGAGAGGTAGAATTGTAAAAAAGCCAATCGGTTGTTTAGAAGAAAAGGGATAATTAAAATAATGATGTTAATATTCAACTAAGTTGAAAATCTGACAAAATTAGGTAAAAGGAAATCTTATTCAATTTAATAAGGTGAAGTAAACAATTATACATTATACATGAATTATACATGATAGACGGAAATGATGTGCAAAATAACCATTAGGAAGCATATTGCTAATTTATTAGCAAAAATAACTATATTATATGCAATACAAGAGCAATTTCAAACTTGTTTCATTCATTTCCGTCTTGGGGTTTCGACATACCATTAACTATTTTTCGATAACAGATGGCGGCTGATCAGAGTGCAGTACTTTATTCACACGATCGAATATTGCACATTAGATTTTGAATATTGAGCACGAGCTCTTCATTCTTTCTCAAAATTGTGATCATAACTTTGAAAATAACTTGAAAACTGAAAAATCTCTCTATTTCTCTATTCTTATAGAAAAAATCATGATTGCTATGAAGTTACTATTGGAATGTTTAAAAAATACGACACTCATTCCGGTTGGATCAGAATATAGAACACGGAGTCAAGTACTGCTTGGATTTAAACGAATTCAGTTTGCAATCTCGTGAACTGCATGGGGTTATGTGTCTCGTCATAAAAGCGGGCTGCAAGTTTTGGATTTTTATAGACTTGAGCTAATCTGTCCAATTTCACATTTGGCTTCCATATCACCTCAACCATTACTATCGGGTTGAAAAGTATAAGACCCTGGCCGTTTTCGATTTTACAAGATTCCTCAACATCGGTATCATTCATTTTCCTCCAGTAATATACCGTAGATATATCAAATAGTCATAGGAATGCCAAACTACATGCATTGTGATATTGGGTTTATAGCCCAGGATCTACATATATTTTTTTTAACCCGAAAGCAAACGCAGCGTGAACTGTCGAATAATTCTCTCGTCATTTTTCTCCCATAGAAAAACGAAATTATCAAAATTGATAAGACTACAACTGAGGGCCTGAGGGAAGAAGGGACTCTCCCAAGGCCAGTGAGACACGAAAGTATCTTTTGTGCATTGTAAGTTGACCGGGCCTGCCCTCTCCCCTCAGCGATCCACCTCATCCACATATGCCAGAATGACTAATCAATCATCTCGTACATTGAGTGGATATAACTCATCGTGCCAGGAGTGGAAAACTCGTTTGTTACTCACCCAAGACATTGTTTAGTGTATCAAGCGATCATCACTCGGAGAATGAAACTCCAGGATTGTTACTTACTCGTTAAATCTGTATTTATCAACAATATCATCGCTATTTCGGAAAACTTAAGCCCGGATTAAATATTTATAGCCGTTATCATATTTGGATTAATTCTATTTTTCCACCAGCATGAATCTACCTGATCATAACTTTCATACGAATATTTCATTTATGTCTAGGCTTATCTCACGGAGAAAGATTGACTCACCGAGCGTGTAAACCGAGGGATAAGCGTGAAACAGATTTTAATAGAAACAGAAATCGTAGATGTTGATTTAACGAATTTGAATTAATGGAGTGATTTTCATTTGACGATACATCTTTTTCGTCGTTCATCGACTTGATTATTTGTAGCCCGATGGATCTGAGCACAGAACGAGCCATCGGTTTGCATACGAGTCTAACGATACTTTTTGTATTACATTCTTCCTATAGCCCTGTTTTTTTCTCCTCTATTTACATCTGGTTGGGCGCGACTTGCGCACTGAATATGTATACCCGTTAAGGCACTCGGGTGTGCAACGAGAAGTATTTCAAAGGGTTCATTCTTGTACTGTTATGAGTATGGTGGTGGTGTGTGTATGGGTGTATCGCGGATAATAGTTAAGCTGGCAAACAATTGATGAAGAGATTCTCAATTTCTCATGAGCAAAATGTTTAATCTTCATACTTGAATATTGTTATCAATTTCCCTCTAAATTCTTGTCAAATGGTTGAGAAATTACACAATGTTTCTGTTACTTCATCCCATCCAGCATGAAATTATCAATTTTTGGAAAAAAAAAATGTAAAAATACCTGTTGAAATATTATGACTAGGTCTCATTTTTCTCGTGAATGTACTGCAGTACCACAAAACTACTAGAAAATTTCTGTTTGCTCAATGAATTAAACATAAATATTGACTGGTAATTCTACAATTGCTCCATAATTGTCAGGTATTCACCGATTTATTTGTTATACAGAACACTGACAGAAAAAAATTAATTTTATCAAGAGAATTTTATTCGAACCAAGTATCATTTGGTTATTAATTTTCAAATAAACATGATTCCATAGTCAATACTAGTTATCTCTTCTTGAGATACATTTGATTCGGAGAAATCGAACTTCTCTAGAACTAAAGTTCCTTTTATTTGTCGCAATAATGAGAGTATTTGATTTCTTTCTAGCCAAAAATTTGGTACATACAATGGTTCTACGTAGAGAAACTTGACATAAATACTTGAGTTTGGAGACGAGTGGCATTTGTCGGATTACTTGTTCCATTTGGATTTTGATCGATTGCAGTATTTCGAGGAAAAACGAATGGTGCGGTCTTGCAAAATATTTACGAACAAATGAATTGCTGC